AATTAAAGGCACTTCCACTCGAATACAAGCAGGAAACATTGAAAGGGATTTGTTTTTTGAGTGAAGGGTGTTCTACCAGAGGAAATCTGCGGTTATGAGTCTTGTTTTTCCCTTAGAGATCTTCTCAATCCATGTAATACAAGAGAGTTAGTACCTAAACTGAAAATCTCAATTTTATTGGTGTGAGGTGTCACAGGATGGAGTTCAAGGCTGCCAAAATGACTAATAATTGAGGGGGAAAACACGTGAAAAAGGGAGCCAGTGAAAAGTGATGTGTCCAAATCTGTGTATAATCTCCCCTTAAATCCTAGGGTAAATCCTGAATGGTGCATACAAAAAGAAGGTTACAAGGATCTGGTGAAAAGTAAAAGCTAGAAGGCTGAAAGGCTAGGCAGAGGTTTCAGTTCATGTCTACTGCAACAACCATGGCTAAAGTTTGGATTTCATCAAGTTAGGGGGACCAGATAAACACATTAGGCTTTTCACTGAAAGTCCAGGAGAGGGCTAGGCCATAGAAGTAAATGCCATACTAAGGTTTTGCCCTAAGAATAAGGGCGAAACATAAAAATTTCCACACTAACAAAATCTAACAACCAAGACACCACAGGTTAAAGGTGATCAGCCGGTAATGTAATTGCCTGTTAGAATACAAACACTCTTCAAAAGATCACAAAATGGTATAGTATGCCATCTACAATATACATTATATAGTAAAAAATTACCAGATATATATAAACAAACAAAAACATACCAGAAATATATGACCCAAAGTCAACAGAGAAAATAATCAATAGAATTAGACCATGAGATAACGTAGATCTTGAAATTAGGAGAAAAGATCTTTTCAAAGCAGCTATTACAATATGTTATTGGACTTAATGTGGTCATAATGAATGTTCATATGGAAAATATTGGAGGGAAATGAAAAATGTAAAAGAAAGCAAATGGAAAATGTAGAACATAAAAGTGAATAATTCTCTGGATGCTTCCACTTCTGTCCTTAAAGAAATAACAGGTATAGGACATGTACTCCCATCACAAACAAGTGGAAGACTAGGGAAAATATGTGAAGTAAAGGGTAGGATTACAATCCTTAAGAGAAAGGAAACTAACAGGGAGAACCTTACTATTTTCACAGCTTTCTACCTGGATACAATTTCAAAAATGGGATGCAGTGAAATGTAACTCGAACATTGCTGAACAGCATTTCTGGGTTGAAGAGATTGAAGCACTTGGGGAGGCTGAGGGATTGAATTTATGGAGCAGAATATCAGATAAATATGAGTAGCA